AAGTTTCGTTAAATTCTGTGATAATTCATTTTTTTTTTTTTTACCAGAACTCAAGTTTAGCTTTAATATGATTCTAGATAGCACTGGTATAATTTACTTTCAATTCTATATTTTTTTAAATATCAAAGATAATGCCCCCACCCCTATCAACACTAAAAATCTATTAACAAGGGGGGAGGGGGAGGAATAGAGGTGAAGTATTCCAGAGCATATTTATCCGCCGCTATTTTAAAAAAAAAGTGGCTGTCGTCATTTGTGAATAAGTTTGAATAGTCAATCGAAACGTTTGCAATGCCGTGTTGAATTCCCGAGGGCATATAGCGCCAGTCTCGGAGTATACAGACTTGGACGGATTTTCACCGTGAATAGAATCCCTTTTTAGCAAAGAGCTGATGGCCACGTCTTTGCAATATATCTTCAAAAATGCTCTGCTTCGTATTCATAAAGGGAAATTTATTTTCAAGCAATTCTGAAACCTCTACATCTACTGAAATGATATTATTGTAGAAAGTATAGGTGTATTTTTTTAAAAGAAGTGTGAATCTCTAAAATACAAGAATTCTATCGTTTTGCCATTTTGTCAACACGATAACCTTCACGGAAGATAGACAATGTGTATCTCCCTAGTAATTTATCAACACGATTATATTTGCGTAAACCGATGATAAACGATCAATACATTACTAGTCATTATATCCACAATCAAAGGGAAGGGGCTCCCGAAGAAATCGGAACCAAGGATATTATGTAATGTTAAGGCCCCACGTACTTAATCAGACAAGAACCTTCAGTCAATTGATGGAGGCAGACTTATCAGAAGAAAAAGAAGAAGACAATGAGACGATGATGATTACTAACGGACAGGGGCAGCGATCCCGGGGGAACGGGGGGGGGGGGGTCGTCCCCTCCGGAAAATTTGAAAAAGTGCAAAAAAAAATGTATAGCAAATACTGACGTAAGACTGCAACATACTTTTAGGCTCTGGAGGGCCCAAGAATGCAGTGTTTAGACAAATAAAAATGCAAAAATCTTCTCTCTCGGGAGCTACGCTCCCTCGCATAATATCTTTCAAAATGTACAAGTAAATATTGCAGAAATGTGAAGTGTGAAAAAAGTATATTGCTTGGTTTTATACTATAGTTTTGCTAAGGAATGTAATTTTCTGATAAAACCACTGGCGTACTGGTAGGAGGCTTGGGGGGGGGGGGGGGCGCCTAGCATCCCGAACCGGTAAAAAAAAGGATAGTAACGTAAATTTTACCTTTAAAAAAATTTAAAAAAAAGTCCCCCCCCCCCCTGACCTGCCAGTGACACAAATGCGGCATCAAAATATTTGTGCTTCTCTGATCGTAATTAAATGCCTAAAACCCCTGAGCCGTCCTGGGGCTCCGCTCCCTGAACCCTCCACACCAATTTACGCTCGCTACCCTCGCTACCCCCCCCCCAACTTTGATAAACGTTCCGCGGGGCCTGTGTACATAATATATACGCATACAACACTGATCTTTATGATGTCTTTAACGTGACATATCTTCTTCTCCTCTTGCAAACGAGAAAGAAAACAAGGTCATTAAAAGGGATTAAGCGACAAATAATGATTGTGATTCAAATTGATGCGAATATTTTTGAATAAGCACTGCTATTTCTTTTATTAACCCGTTTACTACTCAATTATCTTATTCCCATAGGCTTTACACAGGGACCACCAGGTTCCCGTAAGCAATGGGTTAAATGACCTTGTTTTCTGTTTTGTTTGCAGAGGGAGAAGAAGCTATGCCACGTTAAGAAATCATAAAGATCAGTTGTATTATGCGTATATACATATGATAACAGAACAAAATGTTGATTATCAGAATGTCATTTTGGAATACCTCTATACAAATACCCGATCTTACTGTGCCGATACGACATTGTCTTTAGCCCGTATCAGTATTAGTATGAGCTAATATAAAGTTATTATTCTTTATTCAGTTCAGTATAATGCTTTTCCTTAAAAATAGGAGGGCAACTAATTTCAGAGTAGGATTAAGAGTCGAGAACGGTACAACGAATCGTCTTAATCTTTCTCTAATCATTAATGAAATGCGAAAATGATTTCAGGATTAAGAGTTATAATAAAATGAAACGACAAAGCTTCCGTACTTCGCGTGGGAGGGGGGAACTGAATTCAAACAAAGACACAATAAAACGATTCGTCTTCTTTCTATAATAATTTAATGAAACTTGAAAGCTTCCGCGTTTCGCGCGGGATGGGCGAAAATGAATTTAGACAAGGATTAATAGTAATAATTTATTGAAAAGCAAAGCTTCCGCGCTTTGCGCGAAAGGAGGGGGGGGGGGGGGGACTGAATTCAGACAAGGATTAAGAGTTGAGACTGGTACAATGAATCGTCTTATTTCTCTAATAATTAAATGAAACGTCATAGCTTCCGTGCTTCGCGCGGGAGGGGCGAAACAAGAATTAAGAATCGAGAACGGTACAACGGATCGTCTTCTTTCTCTAATAGTTTAATGAAGTGTCAAGACTTCCGCGCTTTGCGGGGGAGGGGGGGGGGGGGGGGGGAACTGAATTCAGACAAGAATACGATACAACGAATCGTCTTCTTTCTCTAATAAATTAATGAAACGTGAAATTTTCAGCGCTTCACGCGGGATGAGCGAAAATAAATTCAAACAAGAATTAAGAGTCATAATGTATTGAAACGTCAAAGCTTCCGCGCTTAGCGCGGGAGGGGGAACTGAATTCAGACAAAGATTAAGAGTCGGGACCGGTACAATAAATCATCTTCTTTTTCTAATAATTAAATGAAACGTCATATAGCTTCCGCGCTTTGCGCGGGAAGGGCGAAACAAGCTTTAAGAGTTGAGAACAGTACAACGGATCGTCTTCTTTCTCTAATAATTTAGTGAGGTGTCAAAGCTTCCGCGCTTCGCGCGGGAGGGGAAAATAGAAAAATAACTTAGTTCCTGGTCCAGGGTTTATAGGGTTAAATTTGTAAAGATCTGGACATTGGCATTTTATATTTGTCGGTAATAATATTGATGGCTCGTTTTGTCGGTAATCGGCGGCCTCTACACCCCACCTTCCCAATTAAAAAAAATCTAGCGACGCCCCTGATAACGACACAGTTTATACACTCGAGATAATTTTTGCAAGTACTACTGGTGAAGTACTGGTGAAGTATTTTCTTTTTGTCAGCCCCCCCCAAACGTTTTTGCTCATTACGCCACTGGATACAACAGAACTTCAAAAACCTGTGAGGGGGTAGTCACTTCCGTCACCTTCACCCCTCCCGTTCACCATGCTACTTCGCAGTGGCGTACTGATGGAAAGGTTTTTTTTTTTGGGGGGGGGGGGGGGGGGGCTTGGGGGCAGTTGTCCCCACCAAATAAAATTCAAACGTGGTTAATTTCTAATTCGATAACAGTGATTTACAAATGTTGCTGAAATGGCATGATTTTTCCCTGAGCTCCAGGGGGCTCTGCCCCCTGAACCCCACCCAGGGCCCTAAGACAGGCCCTGGATGCTCATCTGACCGTTATTAAATGCCTAAACCCCCTGAGCTTCAGGGGACTCTGCCCCTGGACCCCAACAAGGGCCCTGAGGCGGTCCCTGGATGCTTATCTGATTGTTAGTTAGTGCCTAAAACCCCTGAGCTTCATGGGGCTCCGTCTCTTGACCCCCGCCGGAGACGGAGCCCCACGCCAATATACGCCCCACTTGCTTCGCTCGCTTTTCTCTCCCTGATCGTAAATACTTTAGCTCCCCCCACTTTGAAAAACGTTCTGCAGGGCCTGCATGTAACATGTAAGAGTGGTGGTGATGCGGATTTTTTTCCTGCCCCCTCCCCCTCCCCTCCGTTTTTGCACATTACGCCACTGCTTCCCCGTCCCTCATATTTCGCTCCCCCCCCCCGGTCATGAAGAGAAATCACCGCCTGTGCTATAACGGACTTGATTAGTCATTCAAAACGGAGAGAAATGTTGGATAAGAGCGCAAAGGAGCAGAGAATTAAACACTTGTTTCAATTTCTTTTTCTTTTTTCTTTATGTTTTTTTCTTTTCCCCATTTCTGCTACAGCACTGTGTCATGTTCTGTACTGTAGCTGTTAGCATTGTCGATGGAAGCTTGCCTAAACTTTTTGAACGACATATTTTGCTTTGAGTTAGAAGAATCGTGTGAGCTTCATTAATCAGATGAACTAAAACGTTATCCCCGAAGAGGGATCAACGAAGTCGTCTTCTTCTCCTTTTCATCTTCTTCCTCTTTCTGCGCATGTGTAGGGCAAAGTCAATTTCTCACGAAATATGAATTAGAACGCTCTAGTTTTTTAAATAGTTTGACCAGTGCTCTCATTCCTAACTATCACACTAAATACTACTATGGTCGACCATACTCGCTCTGATTTGACAAGCTTTTTCTATTCAGTTTTATTCTCTATGATCTTTGGGAGTTCCTGCCTTGGTAGACAGGTGTCTTTTTCTAGTTGTTTATATGTAAGTCATTGCTGGGCGCCCTCTGGTGCGTTTGCCCCTTGAGGGCTCCCAGAAGAGCATTTTGTGAAATGATTTCACTCTTACTCCTCCAGCAGTGCCCACTCAAACGGAGGCGGATATTCTGCTGTAATGATCACAGATACCGACGTTGCTGATGATATCGCACTAATCACAATAAATACTACATTGTTTATCTAAGTCTGTAGATGATTTAGAGTAATTTTTGATAGAAATTTGTAATCAATAGTGTGCGTTTAGGTAAAATTAAACGTAATTAGCCTCCGTATTGTTATGAAATGATTTAATCTTGTATTCGACTTAGACCAATATTAATGCATTTCAACTTTTCATTTATATTTTTAAATTTGCTTATTACGTAATATGTGTACTGATGCATACAATGCGCTGTGCAATATAATTGCACATGATCTCATACTTAATTAATTGTCTTATTTTATCTTTCAGGTATACTCGAGAGGGAACATTAAACTTGGTGAGAAAAGATGGCACCTGTTAAAGAAGAAGACGGAGTTACGCTTACTATAGATGAGCCTATTAATGAAGACAAGAAAAATGGCGATGGGAACCAACTGATGGCGGATGATGGTGACGGTAATCATGCGTACGCTTGTTTCTCATGGAAACCCGCCTTCCTACAATTCCTTGTATCTCCGCGATTCTTCTGCGTCCTGTTGTGCATGGTGGTCGCCTCGGACGCCTTCAACTCGGGGACATTCGGTAGCGCAGTGACGTCACTTGAGACGCGCTATAAGCTACCTTCATCTCAGCTTGGCTTCATCAACAGCATGTATGAGCTGGCCTCACTGGTCCTAGTCCTGTTTGTGGTCTACTACGGAGGGAAACCAACCAGTAACAGACCTCTGTGGATTGGCCTTGGAAGCTTACTGATGGGGATAGGTGTGTTGGTTGCGCTCTTGCCACAGTTCATATTCGGAGCTTACGTGTAAGTGTGTAGAGGTCATACTGATAATGCTGCTACACTAGTTATAGTGAAACCTGTCTATAAAGAACACCCAAGGCATAAAAGAAAAGTGGTCTATAAAGGCAGGTGGTCTTTGTAGACGGGCGCCTAAAGTATGATTATGTTTCATTGAGAAACCATTTTTAAGCGACACGCAAAATGTGGCCTTTTTTGTTGATTGATTGGTTGATTTGATTCCATTTCATATATCAATTGTTTCCCCCAATAAAGAACATAGTTGACAAAGTGTCATGGACGACTGGATATGTCATCGGACTGTCGATCACAAGGTCCGCGGTTGGAGTCCCACCGCGGCACTAATGTCCTTTGGCAAGACATTGATCTACATTTGCCACACTCAACCCAGGTGATGTAAATGGGTACCTGGCAGGAATTAATTCCTTGAAATGCTAGAGCGCCGTAATGACAGCCGTGCTAAAGCCAGGGTAATAATCGGGAGCGCCATGAGTAAAGTCTGACAGACATGAGCGCTATACAAGAACCCACTATTATTATTATTATTAAAGTAAGTTCAAAATTATGAGATTAAACAGGAATTACCTACTGGAAAGCATAGCTTGTTTTTGTAGGTTCCCAAGAATAAATATAATATGAGCATTATTTACATAAATCGTTTTAAAGTGTCTTAATAAACAGGTGGTCACTAAAGCATATAGTTAGTAAACTGTATTATATAAAACTTCCCTGTGCGCTACTACATTGAAAAAAAAATGTTACCCTGTCTGTTTAGCTAGAGCAGCCGTTACCTTACAGACAAGGGTGTCGATTTGTATCCGTGGTTGGGGGGGGGGGGGGGGGGATGATAGGTGCCAAAATATTTTCGGCAATGGATCAAAGCAATCAAGAGGTAGAAGCGTGTGGCAAGTTGCACCCCTCCCAAGCGCGTAGCCGGGATTTCATTTTAGGGGGCGGTAGTGAGCACGCGAAGCGCGGTCCCTAGGGGGTTGCGTGTAGGGAGGGGGAGTCCCCCCCCTGCGAAGCGCGGAAGCTTTGACGTTTCACTAAATTATTAGAGAAAGAAGACGATTCGTTGGACCGTTCTCGACTCTTAATCCTTGTTTGAATCAAGTTCCCCTTCCTCCGCGCGTAGCGCGGAAGCCCTGACGTTTCATTAGATTATTAAAGACAGAAGACGATTTGATGTACCATTCTCAACTCTTAATCCTTGCTTGAATCAAGTTCCCCTTCCTCCGCGCAGAGCGCGGAAGCTCTGACGTTACATCAGATTATTAAAGAAAGAAGACGATTCGATGTACCATTCTAGACTCTTAATCCTTAATGTTTGAATCAAGTTCCCCTTCCCCTTCTGACGTTTCATTAGATTATTAAAGAAAGAAGACGATCCTATGTACCATTCTCGACTCTTAATCCTTGTCTGAATTCATTTTCGCCCATTCCTGCGCAAAGCGCGGAAGCTTTCACATTAGAGAAAGAAGACGATTTGTTGTATCGTGTCCTTCATGAATTCAGTTTCTCCCCTACCGCGCGAAGAGCGGAAGCTTTGACGTTTCACTAAATTATAAGAGAAAGAAGACGATTCGTTGGATCGTTCTCAACTCTTAATCCTTGCTTGAATCAAGTTCCCCTTCCTCCGCGCAGAGCGCGGAAGCTCTGACGTTACATCAGATTATCAAAGAAAGAAGACGATTCGATGTACCATTCTAGACTCTTATTCCTTAATGTTTGAATGAAATTCCCCCTTCCCCGCGCGTAGCGCGGAAGCTCTGATGTTTCATAGGATGATTAAAGAAAGAAGACGATCCTATGTACCATTCTCGACTCTTAATCCTTGTCTGTATTCATTTTCGCCCATTCCTGCGCGAAGCGCGGAAGCTTTCACATTAGAGAAAGAAGACGATTTGTTGTATCGTGTCCTTCATGAATTCAGTTTCTCTGAAGCTTTGACGTTTCACTAAATTATAAGAGAAAGAAGACGATTCGTTGGATCGTTCTCGACTCTTAATCCTTGTTTGAATCAAGTCCCCCTTCCTCCGCGCGTAGCGCGGAAGCTCTGACGTTACATCAGATTATTAAAGAAAGAAGACGATTCGATGTACCATTCTCGACTCTTAATCCTTGTCTGAATTCATTTTCGCCCATTCCTGCGCGAAGTGGGGAAGCTTTCACATTAGTGAAAGAAGACGATTTGTTGTATATCGTCCTTCATGAAATCAGTTTCCCCCTACCGCGAAGCTTTAACGTTTCAATAAATTACTACTCTTAATCCTTGTCTGTATTCATTTTCGCCCATTCCGCTCTTAGCGCGGAAGCTTTCACGTTTCATTAAATTATTCGTAAAAAAAGACGCTTCGTTGTATCGTGTACTTTGACGTTTCATTTGATTATTACGCTTAATCCACGTCTGAATTCAGTTGCCCACTAACAGCTTTGCCCTTTTCACTGAATAAAGAAGACCATTCGTTGTACTGTTCTCTATATTAATCCTTGTCTGAATTCAGTTTCCCCACTGAAAATAATTTGTGTTACAAATAAGTTGTGACATAATAATCTTTCTCCAAAAATGAAAAATCTTTTAGGAAATATCAGGAAATAAAATGAGTGAAAAAAATAAAATAAATAAAGATACAATGAAGTGAATTTTTGAAAGGGTGAACGGAAACAACATAACAACTAGAGAACTATTCTATAAGTCATACTAACGTCCGAAAATCTTTCTCCTTGTCTCCGATCTCATCACGAAATCGTCACAGAGTTCGTCTATGTTTACACTGTCCAGGATTGTCTGATGTGCATTGCAGATTGCTACTTTTGCGCTTCGCGCTTAACATTTAGCTCGTTGCTTTTTGACGCTGCGTCTTTGCATTTGGCGCACTGCATTTCTATGATACTGTTGATTGAACAAAAATAATAATTTCATCAATTCCTGATGAAGCCAAATGATCGAGAATTCAATTTATTCTTGTCTCATATACGGTTGTCTCATTTACTTCGTATATATGTGTTGCTGGGTTGATTAATAATTGTTTACACCTAAAAGTTAAGTAGCATTAATTATGTTTCCAATAGTATGCCGGGAACGGGTAAACAACCCCTGGTTTTGAATTCTTGCATAGATTAAAGTGTTCATTTCGATAAGAACGTTGGAAATGAATTCCTGCATCAAGATGTACAGGTGTTCATTTCCAATAACACGTTAGACAATAGACTGTTTTTTCCGGTTATAATGAATTAAAGGTATTACTCCTCTCTTAATTGGTCGGATGACCTAAGGGTGTCTTCGTAAGGATCCTCCTGGTTGGCTGGTGATAATTAAATGCCATGTGCATGTGCGGGGATTTGTGGTCATATTATTTAAGAGTTTTTTTTTCATTCCGTTAACATGTTTAGGATGTGCTGCTAGTTTACTGTCGATATGGCCGTCCAGCCTCTGAGAGAGGATGGTTGTCTTATTTACTTCGTATATATGTATGTATTATGAAAATGAGATAGCAAAATGTGTATATTGATGGTCATCTTGCGAGTAATAACCATTAACTACTCTCATCGGGCTCTCATCCTTAATTTTTCTCTTCATTTTTTTTGTTTTGATGGTGAGTTATTTTTATTTTTTATTTATTTATTTATTTATTTATTTATTTATTTATTTATTTATTTATTATTATTATTATTATTATTATTATTATTATTATTTTTTTTTTTGGGGGGGGATGATTGTACAGGCCATCCCCCCACCTGAAATATGGGGGGGGGGGGGGATATATCCCACCACCCCCCCCCCCCGGATCGACACTCATGCTTACAGAGTATTATCTGAGCTAAGTGAGCCACTTACCTTAAAATAAAGTCGAAAAAAACGATGCCTTCGTATATAAAGGGCACACTTCTATGGTGGCCATCAAAACAGATGTTCTTTGTACATGGTGAGTGAGTGTTCACAAATTAAGGCTTTTGAACTAGCAAAAATATAATCATAAAACAATATAAGTCTGCGGCGTGTTTGTACTGGTCGTCTATTTGTATTTATCATTACCTTAATTAATAGCTGTCACTATATAACAAAAAAAGGTGTCAACATTTGGATCTCTCTTTGCTCTATTGCCTTGTAAGGAAGTTGGAAAGTTAGTATTTGGACAAGAAACGCCCGGAAGAAACGGTAGTCCCCTTGCGAAGTGTGCCCGAACGCATTGGTCCGTCATAATATTCACAACATTTGAACTTATTTTGACTCTTTCTCAAAGAGTCAAACAAAGTTTTATTTTTCTGAAAAATATTAGATACACCCTAAACGTTCGAGCAGGCTATTATCTTGGGTCAATATGAATAAAATTCCACGAAAATTGAAACGCAGTTCCCAACATGGGACTCTGATTGGATGGGAGATAGTTACGATTAGTCACAACTTTTATACAAGAGGCAACATAACATTCTTGAAGGATATGTCGGTAAGACCTTCAACTCGTTTGTTCTGCCTTTATAGCCCCTCATCGAAGGATCCAATGGCAATGGTAACTCAAGCAGTGCTACGTGCTCTGCTGTAGGTGGAAATATGACGGACCAGTGCAGCGACAACGATCAGGGAACCGATGAGGGCAGCAACAACGCTGCTTTCATCTTCATCATCTGCGGTCAGATCATCGTTGGACTAGGATGGACACCGGTGATGGCGCTAGGCATGTCATACATAGATGATAATGTGAAGACCACCACGTCCGCTATGCACATCGGTAGGTCTCTTTAATCCTCAACTCCAGAGGTAGAAGTCTCAAAATGTCTGACAATTAAGCGCAAACAAAGCATAAACAGATTTTGGTAGAGAATACAAAGATATATTTTAAAAGTTAGAATTGATGATTTAGTTCCGCAGAGCAGTACCATGCTCTTCTGTATTAAACAAATATAAAGGCCTACATTTGTGTTTCGTATTATATGACTTAAATAGCAAGAAAATAATGAATAGCGATAAAAAGGGACGATGAAAATGGGTAAATAAAAGAGAGAGAGAGAGAGAGAGAGTCGGATATTAGTGTTTTTTCCACTACCACACTCACTTACATATCATTGGATCATTTCTTTCAACAGGGTACGTTCAGAGCATGTTTGGTTTCGGCCGGATCGCCGGATTTCTCATTGGTGGAGTTACGGTTCGCAAATGGGTTGATTTCTACCGTGACGATCCGGATAATTATGGAGTTGGACAAGAAGATCCCCAGTGGGTTGGCGCTTGGTGGTTGGGTAAGAATTTAATAATTTCCTTCTACTTCTTCTTCTTGTTCTTTTTCTTGTTCTATTTCTTCTTCTTTTTCTTCTAGTTCTTCTTGTTCTTTGTCTCTTGTTCTTGTTCTTCTTGTTCTTGTTCTTCTTGTTCTTCTTTTTCATCTTTGCCACCTTTTCCCCTTCTATTTCTTCTTATTTGTCTTGTTCTTGTTCTTGTTCTTCTTGTTCTTGTTCTTCTTTTATCACTTTATTTCTCTCTTTTTGGGGGGGTTAGTAATGCGGTGTACCCTTGAAAAATCAGAACTTGGCTTTGTTTGATCAATCTAAGAAATCTCTAACCTCTCAGCCTTCTTCTTTTTCTTATTCTTCTTCTTCTTATCCTCCTCCTCTTATCCCTTCACCTCTTGTTATCCCTTTTCTACTACATATCTTCTTCATCTTCTTCTTCTTCCACTTCCTCTTCATCATCATGGACAGGCGCGGATCCAGGATTTCTTAGGGGAGGGGGCCCAACTTTTTTTATTTTTTTGCTCCCGAAAATTTGAAAATCGCGCCAAAAATTCGCTCAGTGGGGGGGGGGGGGGGGGGGGGGGGGGGGGGGGGGGGGGGGGGGGTAGTGAGCACATTTTTTTTTTTTGATCCTCAAAAAAATTTCAATTTGCACCCCCCCCCCCTTGAGCGCCAGGGGGGGGGGGGGGGGCCCACCCCCAAAAAAGGTAAAAATCACGTGATTTTACATGATTTTTTTCTCAAGGGGGGGGGGGGGGGGGGGCCCCCCGGCCCCCCCCCCCTGGATCCGCCACTGATCATGGAACCCTTAACCGTGTTGCCAATCTCTTCAATTTTGACTTTTTTTTTTTTTTTGATCCTCAAAAAAATTTCAATTTGCACCCCCCTTGAGCGCCAGGGGGGGGGGGGGGCCAACCCCCAAAAAGGTAAAAATCACGTGATTTTACATGATTTTTTTTCTCAAGGGGGAGGGGGGGCCCGGGCCCCCGGCCACCCCCCCCCCCCCTGGATCCGCCACTGATCATGGAACCCTTAACCGTGTTGCCAATCTCTTCAATTTTGACATTCCCAGGGAAGCCTGTCCATTTATATGTAACTGTTTTCACATAGGTGAGTAGTGTTTCACTCAAAAGATAGAGCAACGCTTTACATATTGCTGCAATTGTCATCATTTCAATTTCAACGACTTTCTAAAATGGCGGATTGAAATACGGGTAACAAGGAAAATGACGTTCGTTAATTTTTAATTTTTTTTTGCCGAAAGATAATATGTGATGATGGTGTCACCACATCCCCCTCCCTCACCCTCTATCACCGCCCCGTATTTACATATTATTTTGACGTTTGTAAGTATATTGTACTTAATCACGTTTTGCCTCCTTCTTCCTTTCCTTTCTCAGGTTTGATCATAGCCTGTGTGTCTTACATTTTGTCTGGCCTTCCCATGACCGGTTTCCCCCGAAGTTTGCCGAAGAATTACGAAGAGGCACACGATGACTTCATGGGTCATTCCAGACGAGAAAGGTTAAACGAAAGCGGAAGTGTTGAGGAGACTGTGAAACCAAAATCAAAGAAAAAGGCAGCTTTCAAAAGTATCAAGGGTATAAATCATGATTCAGTTATTTATTTGCTTTGTTTGGTTTTGTGTTTTAATAGAATTCACCAACGATATTTTTTGTATTATTAAGAGAACGTCCATTCTGATTTTAAGTTGGTTTTAATAGAAGTCGGGCAATTGTGATAAACAGGTCAGTGCCAATTTTGAGCAAATTCCGATGAGGAATAAAAAAGTTATGAAATTTTGAAGCTGTTATTAATCAACATTTTGTGTACAGAGCAAATTGGGGAGGAGCTCGCAAGATATCTCACAGTGTTCCCAATTCGTGTTTCACTGATGACAACTTAACAAATCAAAACTTTACCTTTTAATCAGATATCACTCAATCTTTCACCAATCTGTTTTTCACATTTGTTCTGCTTCTGATAAATATCAACTTAATATCAGGGTGGAATTTTCCTTTAAGAACAAAAATGTATATTAAATCAATCCCATATGATAAAACATATCAACATATGTATCACAAAAGTGTTCATGGAATTAATCAGTTCAGATCTAAAGATACCATAATTTATGAATTAATAATTAAATAATACTTGAAAAAGACGATTCGATTGATTTAGCCGGCCATAATTATGTTTATCGTTGATTGTGACCATCATTGATCATCATTTGACATAAATGTTTTTTTCTTCAGACATGCCCGGTAAATTTTGGGAAACGTGTAAAAACCCTCTGTACTTGATTATCAACATGGCCTTCGTCACGGAGTTCGCCGCTCAGATCGGTCTCAATATCTTCTTCCCTAAATACCTAGAAACAGAGTTTGGGCTGACGTCATCATATGCAAATCTTATCACAGGTAGGTTGTCATGACGACATAAACTAAGGCACGATGTAAAAAGCAGTTGCAAAGATTGCGCAAATGCAAAAAAAGAGCAAAATATCAGAAAAGACAATTCGATTAATTTGAATTGACTGAAGACGATAATTACAACCTATCGAAACGTCGAGTAGAAGTGGGTCCTTTTCAGGGCAAACTAACCCTGTCGAAAGAATACGTAGTGTAACCACAAACCTTGCTCAAATCTGTCAGCACCATGGAAGCCTTCAAAGATTAAATATATCAGAATTTTCAGTTTGAATTCTCCATCTAAATCTGACTGCATGAAATAAAGAGAGCTATTGAATACTAAATGAATAAGCTATTAACGGATAGGATGACGATTTTGGGAAAACAGGATGCACATTTTCGTCTGAAATTCATGGCAAAGTTTTTTAATCACAGACAAATCCTGATCGTGTGAAACAATAATAGTATGCTAAGAAACTACTTATTCCAGTCAATATTTTCACGAAGTAATATAGCACTCTGTGTATGAAAAGACTAATAGCTTTAGCTAAATAATTGTAAAATGTTGTACAATTTCCAGATTGCAGCGAGAGAAAAATAAATCGAGTATCAATTTCCCTAAATCTGGATGATCACGTTCAGTTTTATTCATATGGCTTTCCTCATTAATGATATTTTACGACTGCTGTAATTGAAGGCGCAACACTCGTACCAGCCGCTGCTCTTGGTTCCATCGTTGGTGGCGTCATTGTTAAGAAGTTCAAGACGAAAGCTGAAGGGTCGTGCAAGGTAGCCTTGGTTCTCAGTGTGGTCGCTATGGTTCTCCTGCTTATAACATTCGGGGTTGGTTGCCGAACCATTCCAACGGCTGGTGTGACGACTATGTATCCAGATCAAACGTAAGAGATATCTCAAACTGTATATAAATAACTCTCTGAAAAAACCCTGAAAAAGTACAGAGACCACGCCCCGAACAAATATTATTATTTAACAAAATAAAACATAAGAGAGAGGAGAATCAATTTTTGTTTAAATTAAAGTGATAATAGTCAAATTGGACTGATTGCCATATAACGCTGAACCCAACACCAACAATAACATCCCCCCTCTCTCTCTCTATTTCTCTTTCTCTATCTGTCTCTCTTTCTATCTATCTATCTACGCCATACCCTTGTAATTTGTTATGAGTTTATAGCAACGTTTTAGATGCATTCATTCGTTATAGTACTCCAAGAAATAACAACTAATGAAACATGATTTTCATTCATTTTTTTCCTAGAGAGCATTCCATGCGTGACAAAAAAAAAATCATCTGTATTAGCATTAATTGAAATTTTAGAATACATATTTGTATTTTCAAATACAATTACCAGAAGCATTATGATAACTTTCATTTTCCCACATTTTAGTCAAAATATTCAGGATTAAAACAATTTGGAAGTGATTTAAACAGGTTTGATCAATTATAGGTAAACCATTTTCTTGAATTCAGATTCAAGAACAGGTTGAATTGTTCCTAATTATTTAATTGTATACCACCATGTTGAAGTAAACTATTTTTTGATCTTTTCTTCTTCGTTCCAACATCCTAATGAATTTGGTTTAAAATGAAATCGTGTAAAGCATTTTTATTCTTTAACTTCTTTTTCTATCCTTCTATCAAATCTTTGCAAACATTAGCTCTGGCACGAGCTTGAGTCGAAGTAGTACCTGCAACGTTCAATGTGGATGCAATGATGATATCTATTCCCCTGTGTGTGGTGGTGATGGTATCACCTACGTCTCGGCCTGCCATGCTGGATGTATGCAAGAGCATGATAACGGGGTAAGTACGATATATGATTTAGGGATTATTGATGGGGACAAAATACTGTAATCAGTCATTCGTAAAAAGAAATTCCAGTT